ATTTCACAGATAAGGAAAATGAGGCATAAGTAAGTTAAGTCATTGCCCCAAAGTTACACAGATAATAAGTGGGGAAAAAAAGCAAGAATTCCAAACTCTACGTCTGAACTCTTACGCAAACACTGTCATCAATGTGTTATTTTTTAGGATTGTAGCCCTGTACTCAAAAAAGTCAGGCTAGATCCGGTTCACCGAAATACAACTGTTCACCTAAGAAACTACTTATCTGCATGCATTCTGCTACCTGTTGATAAAGGAAATTACAGCTGGGAATGTATTTTGCAGAACGGATATGCAAACCGTGCTGCCTGGCAGCCAATTTTTACATATCCCCTGGGGACTGACACTGTGTGCTTTAGATTTAGTTTTGCTTCTTAGGGTCTCTACATCTATGTGGGTTTTGCTGCTATTTCATTAATTTGAATAGGGCTGAAGGAGAAAATGGTTTTTCTCTGATTCACGCCGGATTCTGCAGTTATTAAATGAGAGGATGTTACTAATACATCTGTATTGGTATAAGAGAAAGGACGGGCACTTAGAACCAGGTATGGAAAATTTAATTCCGTTCTATTACGGGAGACAAAGTACAGCTGTTAGTTGTTTGCTCATGCTCAAGGCATATTTTTATCTCATATTAAAAAGTATTTCCTGGAGGATAGGATCAGGGTGGGGTGGGATGGAGGAGACAAAGGGCAAACTATTTTAATGGGTCTCTGTTTTTCACAATTAAATTCCTTGCCGACATGCCCCATAGCAGCATTTAAAATCAAGTTTCAAAAAGCCCACAATGCTTACCAGCTGCGACTCCGAAGGTAATGAAGAGGCAGTGCACGTTAGCAGCGTAGGCGCTCAGCACCCAGCCCAGCGAGTTCAGCAGCCCTCCGACGATCGCCGTCCGGCGGCACCCGCACGTGTTGATGAACAAGCCGATGAAAGGTCCTGTCACGGAACATTAAGAAAGGAACTGACTAACGGCATTCTAGCCTCATGCTTTCTTAGGGACTCCTTATGTGAAGACAGAAGCTGTTAAAGAAAACAGACCGAAAAGCCCCATTGCTTTATGTGCAGAAAGCTTCCAGCAAGCAAAGATAGATTTCAATAATTTCACCGAAGGACCCAAGACTCTGGGTTTTCAAGGAAGGCAGATCTGAAATAAATAGAGAATTGGATTCATTCTCTTACCTACAACAGAGGTCCTAACCTACTGGTTTAGAGGCTCTATCCAGCCTGTGGATGCATTTTGTTTATCCAGAGCAAAGTTTAAAAACGTTTCGAATCAGTTGCCAATATTTTTTAAAAATTAAGAGAATTCACACACGCACACAAAATCCGGTGGCAACACAGAATACCTCCCCACACAGCCCGAATCAGCTGGAGCTGTGTAGTAGCTGACCACGTTCAGCTGTGTCACACCCTCTCTGGTTTGCCATAGTCTCCATCCTTCTCTTTAGTCTTTTATTTGGCCTCCTGCCCTCTTTACATGACTTGTTTGGCCTCTGTACACATCCCAGTTTTCTGACTCCAGACCTTAAGGGAGTACAGAAAGGGGGTTCTGAGGACTTCCATGCTTCAAGCAAGGAACCTATAGCCTGTTTTCACGAGGACACTCAGATGCAAACCAAGCTGGAAAGAACTTCTCATCACTTCACACATACTTCAGCCCCTGCCGATTCTCCGTCCTTGGCCGGACACATCAGGTGATGCATTTATTTTGCTGTGTGGAGATTCAGGGATACCCTTGGTTGTGTAATGTGTGCCAACAGTCAGAGCAGGACAGTATGACATGATACACATTCTAATTCTTACATTACTATGACACTCTAGTTTTTGTCAACCCCTTTGCTTTCTTTCTAATTTTGTGATAACTTCTGATGTCACTGAAGCTTAATGCTTGATTTGGGATCAGTGATTCCTTGTCCAAATTGCAAGCCCTATTTTAGTCATACAGTATGAATGAATACTAAACATTCAGTAAGATGGTGCACTTAAACGTCATCTTATTTTTGATCATTATTACTTTATAGAATTATGAAACCCTCCATTCAGGTGGGACTATTTCAGGTTAAAAGCTTGCTGAACTCTAGGGAACTTCCTCTTTTAGTCCAAACTAAAATAAAATTTTCCTTTACAGTTCTAACTATATTCACATGCAGATTTGGATACACAGCCTGCTAATGAAATTTTTTTTGTCTAATGATTTTGAGAGGGTCTAATCCCCAAAATTATGAAGGTAAAGACTTATTAATTTAATTAATAAGGAAGTATTTACATTACAGAAAATAATTCTGTATATAAACCTCTTACAATAGACGTAATACAGTAAATATATTTTATATAAATATATCATGTTATGTATATAAAAAGTATGATATAAACAATATATAAACTAAGTACATTGGCATAAACATCTGAGGAAATTATTGGGGGCACCTGAAATTCAGAAACCAGGGGTGTGAGTGTAGCCCAGTGGCAGAGCGCATGCTTAGCATGAACAAGGTCCTGGGTTCAATCCCCAGGACTTCCATTAAAAAAATAAAATAAAATAAAATAAAGAAATTCAGAAACCATATGTTGAAGAGGTATCTTTTATTTCTTTATACATATTTTATTTTTCTAACCTATGGTCATTTCACCACTTTAAATCTCGGATGAGTGGACAAATAAGAGAAAGACACATGATTCACTGGTTTGCTGTTAAAAGGCCTTTAAGAGATGAAGGGTCAGTGGGTAACAGCTCAGGAGCATGATCGTGTCTTCCCCATTAGGGAAAGGGCCCCAAAGCAAGTTTCTTGTGATGCTACGTATTCATGAAACATTGCACTAAGAGCATATTTGGGGGAGGAAGGGGAGAAAACCCCAAGTAAGTGTACACATTCATATCTGGAGGAATGTTCTATATCAAAAAGAAAGTATTAATTGCTTTACTGAAAAGAGCATTTGATAACAGTGTCTGGCTTTCTACTTGGTTGACTCTGGCACCATGTGTGCTGGGGCTACAGTCATTTATGATTTGCAGATGAGCAAAGTCAGTCCCAGAAACGCTGACTCCTCTATGGTTACAAAATACAGATTTGTCAAATAAAAGGAAGTCAGATCCCAACTTTCAGCTTCTCAGTTTCTTTTTCTAACCATTGTTTACTGCTGGTCAGCTGGCATCTCTGTGATGGATCTGCCATCCAACACAATGGGAAGAACTTCACACACAGCCTAAGAGGAGGGGAAAATAAGGTTGAGGTGCAGTCCTTTCGTTGGAATGCCCACCTTTGGAGAGGGATTCAGCGTTTCAGAATGAGACTATACAGCTTCTCAGACTTTCTCCTCTTTGGAAGGAATCTGAATCTTGGCCCATTTCCCACATGGTACGTGTTGCATTGCTGCAGGAACATGCTGATGAAGTCACAATTTCTTGCCCATCCCAGCATCTCACAGGTTGTAAAAAGCTCAGGTGAGGAGAGAAACAACCTGAGATGAGCCTTGGCATGCTATCACTGATGAAAGTAGGTAGTTTATTGAGCTCTTGGTCTCGGGGTGTAACCCTACACTGCAGTAAATCAATGGTCTTCTGCCTTGGATGAACCTTGGAGTCACAAAGGAGCTTAAAAAAAAAATCCTGATGCTAGAGTCCCAAGAGATTCTGACTTAATGGTCCAGGTGCAGCCCAGGTTGGCAGGGTTTTTAAAAGCTCCCAGGTGGATCTGATGTGTAGCCAGGATTGTCAATCACTGCTCTGAATCTACTTAGCAAGTAAGTGGCCTTCTGCAGCCTTAAGCTTCCCCTAACAATGCGGCTTCCACCAAGAATTATTTGAAGAGCTATTACAAAGGCTGCTACAGATCTGACTGAGGTGATGACATTTCGTTAAAAATTGAGAACTTCTGCAGGAAACTGGCAAAATCCATGCTAGCAATGAGTGAAACAAGAATGAAATTACTGAATTTCCCATGTGTGAGTCACTGTTCAAGAGAGATGGCTTTCAACCCTGTAACCTAGTTCATGTTTTTTTTTTTACTTAAAATAAGTAACTCAATATGTTTATAATCAGAAAATGGAAACAATTTATATTTATTCCCTTCACACATATTTTCAGTTCTCATTTGATGGAGTGGCAGACAGTGTGATGGTGGACACCATTCCAGAGTCCAATGGACCAGGTTTGAAGCCTGTCCCACACTTACTGGTTATCTCCAGTAAGTTACTTAATGTCTCCAAGCGTTGCACGTCCTCCTCTCCGAGACAGAAATGATGGTCTGGCCTCCAAGGCTGCTGTAGGATCAAGTGAGATCATGTACATAACACGTGCTTGGCATGTATCAAGTGCTCAATAAAGGAGAGCTGTTTTTGCTGGCTTTTGGCTTGGAAAAGTACCCAACATATCTGCCGCCACCCTGTACCCTGCTATTCAGCTTAAGATACGGAATAGCAATTTAGGGTCATGACTGATAGAATAAAATAACTTTCATTCATATAGCTAGGAGCCTTGCGGTGTTATAATTTCTGAGCCACAAGGCAAAAGACATTTATCTGGTTGGCATCTTTCCTGTAGAAAGCTTAGTCTACAAGCTGAGATTCCACTGTCTGGAATTCAAAGACTCTCCAACAGAGTTCTGAGTGCACAGTCACCTCCCAGTTAAAGATGACAATCACGCTTCACCACTCTGAGTTAGGAGTTCTGGATTGGGGGAGCATCTTCAGAACCACATTCCATTGCTTATTCCTGTAGAACTTGTCAAACACAAAACAATAACAAAGATGACCTAACTGGATGGTTTGGAAAATACTGAGACATTTCATATCCTGGCCTTTGGCTGAATCTTCTTTTTTTTGTTGCATGCACACCCTTCCTGGATTGAATCGTTAAGTATGTTGTTCTACCTGATAAACATTTACTTTTAAAAGATAAGAAAACTGGATTTTAAGTATTTGAAAAGCACAGTTTTCCTTTCCTGACTTATTGAGAAGGCAGAGTCACATCCAACATAAGACAAGCAAGTTCCCTACACTGAGGTTAACCTCCCCATACGTTTCATAGGATAAGACAGTCCTAGTTTGAACAAAGCCAAGGCGGGGTTGACGAAATCAGTTCATTAAGGTTATAGGCAAAAATGATTTTGCAGCGATTCTCTCACCCACATAATGCTGCCCTTATTTAACCGTTAAACTAGATCAGTAGCGGGGAGGGTATAGCTCAAGCGGTAGAGCACATGCTTAGCACGCATGAGGTCCCAGGTTCAATCCCCAGTATGTCCATTAAAACAAATAATAATAATTAAATAAATAAACCTAATTACCTCCCCCCTCCAAAAAGTAGAAATAAAATAAGAAAATTAAAAAAAAGACTAAATCAGTAATAATTCCCTTTGATAAACACATACCCCCTGCACACATCTTGAGAAGCAACACTCTGTCCTTGTTTTTTGTCATTAGCGCTGCCACTGTTATTAATGTTGCTTGTATTACCCAAAGTAACACTGGCTGAAGAAAGGCCAAGATCAACAACTCTCTGAGTTGAATTCAAGCAATTAATTACGAATGTGGAAATCCCTGACAATGCACAGACACTCGCCAAACACACACATGCCTGCCATACACATACTCTCACAAAAACAGGAAAAGACTTAAAGTCATTTATGTTTCTAGCATAAAATATATTACGAATACTTTAAAAAATTAGATGTAAAAGTATAGCTTTTACTTTCAAGTGATGCAACAGCAGCTTAAGGGTATAGCGGTAATGACCTCATAAAATTGTTGAGAGAATGAAATAAAATCAAACAAGATGATGTAATGGCATGCACGTGGTGTATAATAGATGCTTATTAAATGTTAGTTGACAGTAAAAGTTGTTTAGTTCCAAAACTGAAGCACATTAGCCATAATAACATGTCATATTTATAATAACTTTCTGGCTTAGTATCTCCAACTGGGTAAGAATTGCTTTCATAGATTGCTGCGTGGTTAGGTTAAACTACAAGATACAAGAATATGTCATCATTTCCTCCTGTTAGCTAGATCAATAACCGTCCTTGGAAACAGTTTCATAGATTTTTCAAGAACATAGAATCAATGTTTCAAATTTCAAACATCAGAGCTCTGAAATAAAATTGCTATTTACTTTTACTGTGTTGTCTCTGAAAGTTTTATCTTTGAAAAAGACTCTCAAGTGTTAAACAGATTTATAATGACAGATAATACATTATAACAGTTAAGAAAACAGACTTGGGGGCAAAAGAGAGTATTTTAATCATCAATGTTTTAAAAACTCCAAATATTTACAATCTTCAAATAGCTATATCCCACAAAAGGACAAATCTGGTATGATTCCACTTGTATGAGGTCCTCAGAGTAATAAAATTCTAGGGACAGAAAATAGAGTGGCAGTGGCCAGGGGCAGGGGATTGGGAGAGAGGCGGCAATGGGGAGTTATTGCTTAATGGGGGCAGAGTTTCAGTTCAGGAAAATGCAGAGAGTTCTGGAGATGAATAGTGTTGATGAAGCTACTCAATGGCACTGAATCCTATACCTAAAAATGGTTAAAATGATAAGCTTTCTGTTGTATATATTTTACCACAATAAAAACAATAGTAACATCCACTAAAGTCAAACATCTAATGTTTCAACAATATAAACCTTTCCTTCCGGTGAGGAACTGCCATTGTATAATGACTGAGTTTCATGACAGGTCACACCAGAACGTACCCACGATCAAGGTGACGCCCATGCTGAGGGAGCTGACCCACGCCGTCAGGCCGCGGCTCTGATGGAACTCTTCAAGCCACTCCACGTTGAGGACTCCCAGGGCCATCTGGGAGCCCATGATGAGGATGTGCACAAAGAAAGAGGAAAGGACCATCATCCAAGCCCATCCGCCATCAATGTTTGGGTGGGGTTTAAGTGTCTTCTTATCCTTGGGGTCATCTTCAAAATCATACCCAATGTCTTCATGACTTGTATACATTTTCCAAGAGTTTCTGAAATACATATGACAAACAACTTCATTGAACATCAAGACAAAAAATACCCCCATCTCCTTTGGACAGCTCTACCTCCTCATCACAGCCAAAGTGGCCACAGTCATCACATCAGACCTTTCTATTAATCTTCGTCATTGCACAGATTTGGGAACACTCCTCACTTTCTCACAGGACCAAGTGCTTTTTATGAAACTTGTTTCATCTTTACAGTCATCCTAATGTAAGTATTACCATCCCTATTTTAAAGAAATGAAATAGACTCAGAGAAGTGAAGTGCCCTTCCAAAGTTTTCATGGCCAGCAGGTAGATGGCTCGACAGGAACTCGGGCATTGAACCCAGCTATTCCTGATACCAAAGCCCATGCCTTCTGTCCCTTATTGAGATGGATACTGATAAGTGACAACAACGATGTCAGAGGAGGAAGACGCCTGGCCTTAGGCAGGGTACAGCTTGGCCTTGGTGGGGCTCCTGGCAGCGCATATGGTTCTTAGTTTCGTGAGTCCCAGCGTTCAGTTTGTTCAGCGCAGCCAGCACGGGTTAGCCTCATGGGGACTGACTCACACAACCCCAACTCAGGAGGGTTTGGTAAAGGAGAAGGGCAATTTATCATCTTAGAACGGGAGATAGTTTTCTAATAATGGTGATAATTATGTCTGATATACAAGACATACTTTTACCTCCTCCACCCACCCCCATTCCCAGCATTTACCTGGGAAGCTAGAAAGTTCCTTAGAAAATAGGAAATCAGATTAAAGAAATTTGGATACTACAGTGATGTGCAGGTTGCCAGGAAGCCAGGGGCAAGATCTTGTAAAGCCTGATGTGCCGGATAAAGACCTTAGAGTTCGTCTTGTACATAATGAACAGTTGGTGGCTCAATCTGCTCTAGGAAGAGACAAGATGTTACCTGCGCTTTGCAAGGTCCATCTCTCAGGATATCCCAACAAGAGGAGGGTGGCCGGATGGAGATGGGGGGCGGGTGATGCCAGGTCAGGGGAGGTCTCTGGGTTTGTTTTACTTTTCAGGATGAGAATGAAGTGTGTGCATAAGAACTGAAGATAAGGAGCAAAAGAGAGGGAGAGAGAGAAATAGAGAGAGAGAACGACTAATCCCAGAGGTGATGGGACAGGGTTAGTCTTGATCAGGAAGAGGGACCCAATCTCTGAGACTGGAGGAAGCAGGCAGGTGAGTGGGGATAAGACGGGAAGCAGTGGGATGAAAGTTATACCTGTTGGTCTAATTTCTTGGTTAAGTATGGAAGCTAGACCATTGGCTGAGAATGAGGGGAATGGTAGTTATGTCAGGGTCTCAATGTTCAGGCTAATGAAAGAAACTGTTGTTGAAGACAAGTGGAAATGATTGTTGGGTGGCCCTGAAGGCGAGCTGAGCCCTGCAGGGCACCGCTGCAAAGCCACGGGCAATGGAGCACCGCGGACAGAGCAGAGGGAGCACTCTGCCCCAGAAGTCTGCAATGAGAAACGCTGACTAAAAGCTGGTCTGTTTTTCTCTGACCACATACGTGCCTGCGATCCTAGACAATGTCATTGATAAAATACTCTTCTCTGAAAAGAATTCTTCACTGGTCAAAGTTCCAAATAATGCTGTTTCCAGGCTCTGTAAGCTTGAAATCAGCATGCTTTGGTTGCCATGCTTTTGTAAACACTGTGTTCTACAGGGACATTATCTCGGAGAACTGATGGTTATACAGTGGACCCTGGCTCACGTGGGACCCCAGCTGTACACACGTGTTTTGAGAACAAGTTTCTAAGAGTTCAGAATTGCTGGCGCTTCCCCTTGGCTGAATTTGGGTCTGCGGTGCCTGCAGTGTCCCACCCTGCCTGCCTGTAGCAGGACATCCGTGATGGACTGTGACAGCTCAGTTATGGTGGGGACAAAGACAGGAACGCCAGCTCCTTCACTTGTGTCATTCTATGTGCCCACCTGGAGACTTTCTTTTTGTTTAAAATTTAAAAAAAGCAAAACAGAGAGCAAGACTGCACAATGAAAATCTTTGATATGAAAAGTGAAATTTGCAGTCAGTACATGAAATGCTTCACTCAATTTGAATAACGTCTTTAAAATGGAAGTCGATTCTTTTTGTTCCCCCCAAGTAATTATTTCACAATAGAAGAACAAATAAGAAAGTAATGATTATTCCTGATCATTACATGTGATTATTACTGAAGATCATTTTGTTGCAGTGGAGGAAGGTGGTGTGAAAAAAGGCCCCAGGTACTCTAGGCACCCCTCTGTCCTGGGGCTCTTCTCTGCAGGGTTGTGCTGTGGACGAGCAGGACAGAGAAGCAGTTACACTTGGCCAAATGGACAGTGCCCAGCCTCTTTTGAAGCATCTTGTGGCAATCTGCACACCCTCTTTCTGTATATCTCTGACTTAAGAATTGTTTTTACCTTTTCAAGGGCTAGGTGACCTGCAAACTTAAAATATTCTCTGCCCCTTTATAGGAAAAGTTCGCTAATTCCTGGACTGAGTTTGTTGGGAAGAAACGGACGCTGAGGAACCAAGGATGCCAGTGGAACAGCAATTTAATGGATCTGTCCTGGGGCTCATCTTGACTTTTCCTTTCTCTCATAATCATTATTTTTTATCTTTTAAAATTATTGTATCTCTTCAACAGCCATCCAGTTCTCAACCACTACACTTCCTGCCCACATTGCTGCTCTCTGCTGGGTCCTTCCCTCCACCTCTCCGTTACCCAGGCTGCTGGGAGTGATTGAATGCTGCCTTACCAGGTAACTTCCCCATCCTGTCAAATTATCTTTCAGATCAAGTCCAAACTCCCCCACTGCCAGGTTCTCCTCTCGCTTTATCAGCCGCTCTGCTGGGTCCCTCCTCCCGTTCCTCATTCTTGCGCTCTGCTCTCCAGCCCGGCTGAAGCACCTGCAGCTCCCTGACCTTGGCACAGTCTCTCCGACCTCCCCTTCTTCCCTCTTTCGGGAACATACTTCCCTCCTTCTGACCTCCTGGTCCTCTTCTGCTCATCCTTCACAATTCAGCTAAATTATAATAGTGAAACCTTGAAATAGTAACAACAGCAGCAGCAACAAGAAAACCCTGCAAACATCTCCAATATCCAACATTAGAGGAGGTGTTAAATAAATCAGTCATGGTATAGCCATGCAATGCACGGCCACCATCAACAATAGAACTGTCCAGACGCTTTGAAGACATAGAAAGAAGGGCACACTAAGGTGTGAATTATACTTTGGGAGGGGTCAGAAAACGGGACACATGAAATAATCCCTTTTTTGTTGCTGTTGTTAAAAACATGTATCTGTAGGAAAAAAAGACTGGAGTGAAACAAAAATGTTGATGGAGATTATTTCTCTTTGGATGATGGTCTTCCAAGTAATTTCCCCTTCTTTTTATTGATCTTTTTGGTTAAAAAAATCTAAATAAACATACATTAACTATATTATAAGAATGTAAAGGTCCTTCTATCTTTTAAACATCATTTGGATCAGTTTCTTGCCTCTAGTAGATTAGTGGCAACTCAGAACCACTTTCCTTGGGAAGCGTAGTCCGTGTTGGGCTGTAGGCTTTGGTATGTGTTTCCCACCACCCTCCTCTCCCACCGTGAGAAGACAGTGTGCCTGGGGATGGAAGGGGATGGGGTAACCCTTGCTCTCCAAAGCTCACAGCCCAGAAAAGAGCTACCCTGTCAAAAGGGCTAGGAGGACGAAGTTAGGAAGAGTTCGGAAGGCATGTTTGATGGTGGTCTTCCCTCTTTCCCTGGTAGTGGTACCCAGAGTCCCAAAAAGTCAGAAAGGCGAGAACCAGGCAGCTTGATAAGGGATGGGCCTGGCCGAGATGAGTAATAACATGGTCTTACAATCCGTGCTTAATGAGATATGTGTTTAATGAGATAAAACAACACTACCTGACATTTTCCTAAAGCCCATCTATATTTAAGAAAGACTTTGAAACAATAATAATACAGAAGTCAGGTGTTTTTCAACCCATGAGTTGAAAGAGTAAGCGTTTTTTCTAAGCAATGTTAAGAACTTTATATTCTTACTGAATTATTTATTTTGTGGGTTGAGATACAGTTGCCATTGAACTGCACTTGACATTTCCAGTTCATTTGTTCATGAATAAATGACACTGAGTAGCATTTAAGGGAGAAGTTTTATTCAAGAGGCACAACTGTGCACGTAGAAAACAGTATTAGCTGGTGGGTAAAACGGAGTTCCATCAGATCCTGAGAAGGTACCTGGAGACCTACTAGGCAAAGGAACTGTCTGCACTTCACACCCAGATCTCTCTGAAAGTAATTCCTATTTTGACTAATCGCAGTTATCTGATTGTCCAGCCAGGTTAACGAAAACAAACAAAAGGCAACAGAAAAGTAAGTGTCTATCCTCTCACCAAGTGTGCTTTAGTATTTTGTTTTATTTAGTTTTTAAGTGAAGTATAGTCAGTTTACAATGTTGTGTTAGTTTCTGGTGTACAGCATAGTGATTCAGTTACACACACACACACACACACACACACACATTCCTTTTCGTATTTTTTCATTATAAGCTATTACAAGACATTGAATATTGTTTCCTGTGCTATACAGTAGGACCTTGTTGTTTATCTGCTTTAACATGTTGGTATTTATATAATTATAAGATACAACATAATCATCTGAGCATTATGATCCTACTCTGCACCTGGAGAGGCAGAACCAGGACAGGGGTTCTGGATCATTCCATCCCAGGCTCCAAGTCTTTCTCCACCATATGGTCTTCAAGCTCCCCCATCTTCTCCACAGCCTGGCACATGTGTAACATAACAACACACGAGTGGGACACTGGGGTAAATGGAGCAGTGAGTGTGGGGTTTCCCCTAAGGATCCATGTGTAAAATGTAACCCACTTTAGGCTCACCCAGAAGGGACGCTCTGCACGTAGCATTCGGGCCCTGCACTGAACAAGCTGAAGGAAGGACATGGGAAGATTATAGGACCAGCTCTGTTCTTCGGAAAAGTGAGTTCATCAACCGTGAAAGAGAAACTGTAAACGCGGGAAATGAAGTACCACATGCAGGCAAAGACGTGGAGGTCAGCTATATATTTACCTGGTAACTGGCAGAAATGAAAATAATTTAGGGGATGCTGGTGTGTTTCAGACATTAAAACTAAATGAAATTTTCCACAACTCTTGTTAGGAGAGTACGTTTTATCAGCAAGTCACTGATTTTGAATTTGGCCATTGTGATTATGTGGTGAGCTCATTATAAATGAGAAGTACAGGGGAAAGAGCCAAATTAAGGGTAATACTACAATCTTTCCCAAAGGTGGGCAGAGTACGTTGGCGGGAGATTCTTCATTAGATGCGAGTGCATGGCGGGTCCACCCAGAATTTGGCTTCTAGACCTGTTGTGCACTGCAAATGTCGGGCCTTTAGAGGGCGTACTTACGGCCAACAGGCTGAAGAGGCTGGAGCAAGGACTTGGGGAGCTGAGCTGGTGCAGAGCCCACAGCGCAGGAGAACCCCAGCTGGGTCCACGCTGTATTAGGGGGCACTAGACATTAAAATGCCTTCTATG